ATTTTAATGAAAGTTTACATGAAAGTGGCTTTTTTATTCATTCATTCATTGTTGTGCAACATTAATCATTTCTTAAAGTTGCAGTAGTTATTTAGACCTCAGGTCTTGGTATTTCATGGATTAATAAAGAGACGCAGGTATAATAGTATAACAACTTTTGAAAACTATTTTGATAACCAAGGCACTCTGGTGGCCTAGTGATAAGAAGCTGTGCTGTAATCTCCAAGGCACATAGTTCAAATCTACCAACTGCTCCTTGGAAGAAGGACGAGCAGTCTCCTCCCATGTGATTTACTGCCTCTGAAAACCTGTTAGAGCATCAGCTATGGGTTGGTTCCTACTTGACAACATTCAACAACAGTAACATTTTGATAACCACATTTCAATATCATTGGTTTTCTTGGCAATGCTGCATATTTCAATTATGCATTTTAATGCATACTTTAAAAATATGCAGCATTGCATTTTAATGCATAGTTGAAAAATAATGTTTCTTTTTAGTTGGGGTCCCTTAGATTCACCAGACTGACAAAGGGGTACATGATACCAAAAATCTCTACTCTAAGCAATTTCTTTTCCTAAAGAAATCAGTTGTTTGGGAGAAATGTTGCTAAGTGTATGTGCTCCTTTGACGGAGCAGAGGCTATAAATATAACAGCACACAGCATCTTGCACCTGCCTTGCTGGACCCTGATGACATAACCTCAGAAGAACAGGAGGAGCACAAGCTTTGGCTCAACCAGCCTGAGCAGTAATCCTGTAAAAGCCATTTATAGACTGCACATCACTGTCAGATTACTTAATCTCTTCGGACATCAGCATACCCATCAGTAGAAGGATATGAGCATGCTAATACTTCCCCTTATGATAACTGAGGTTTAGAGAAAATGAAATTGTCTTGTACATGTAAGTGGTTAATGAATTATAATGCCCACCCTTGTTGTTGTTGTTAGTTGTCATCTAATCGAGTATGACTCATAGCGACCCTATGAACCCTGTCCTATCCTGAGGCATCCTCATAATCTCTGACATATGAAGCACAGTCACTGTGTCAATCCATCTTTTTGAGGGTCTTCTTCTTTTTCCCTGTGTCTCCACCTTTCCAAGCATGATGTCCCTTTCCAAGAAATAGCCTCTTCTGGAAACACAACATATGTGAGACAACGTGTTATCACCTCTGGCTGTACTTTCTCCAAAATGTAACTGTTTGTTCTTTTGGCAGTCTATGGAGCTCCCACCTTTAGTGACTCTGAATATACAATGAAAACACTCTTTTGTGGTGTAGCTGCTGAAAGTAGTGGCTTCATTAAAATTCTGAAATACCCTTGGAAGGTTTTTAGAGAATTTATAATCTATAATACCTAGTTTACTATAGAATGAATCTTAAGTTTAAAAACAAAAATCAAAGCTTGATTATTGTTTTCTTGAATTTCTAAAAGAATGAACTCCCTATTCACTAAATGAATTTTGCTTCTTCTTTTGAGGTGTTGGAGAAAATTTGACAGATCCATCTGTTATAAAACCTGAAGACAAACGGTAAGCTAATTTGTGGTGTTGTCATTTAGAAAATCACATTTTTCACATTGTACATGTTTTTGTAACTTTAGAGTAAATGTATTCTTGCCTTTATTTTAGAAAGGCTTTGTGGCAACTTTATGTGTATGTGTATGTGTTATGTGTATGTGTATGTGTATGTATACACCCCCCCAAACCCCACCCCTGACCCTACACTGCATGAGGGTGAAACCAAGCTTTTCCTTGGAGGCAAGGATTTTGAGACTCTGTCTCATATACTTCGGGAATATAGCCAGGAGGGATCAATCTTTGGAGAAAGATATCATACTTAGAAAGGGGGAAGGACAGCACAGGAGAAGAAGACCCCAAGTGAGATGGATTGATGCAGAAATTGGGGTAACAAATGTGTGACAGTGAGATTGGTTCAGGACAGAGCAGAGTTCAGAGCTGTTGTGTACAGTGTCGCTATGAGGCATACTTGACTTAACGGCACATAACGACAGTTTTGGAAATAGGGTAAAAAAATATGACAATAAAAGGAAATTAAATCTGAAGTTAGGTCGTTGTTGTTATGTGCCGTTGAGTCGCCAGCGACTCATAGCGACCCTATGTAAAACAACCCTAATCCCTTCTCTGTCCTGTACCAGTCTCACTGTCTCCAACACATCCACCCCTACTACTTCAGTCACTGAATCAATCCACCTCATAGAGGGTCTTCCTCTCCTGCGCTGTCCTTCCACCCTCCCGAGCATGACATCCTTCTCCAAGGACTGGTCCCTCCTTTCAACATGTCCAAAGTATGTTAGGCAAAGAGCAGTCTAGTTTAACCCTCTCCAGGGTGAACCTGTTCATTTTATTAGCAGTCCATGGTATATTCAATATATTCAATACTCCTCTCCAGCACCACAGCTCAAAGGCATCAATTCTCCTTCTATTCTCCCTAGTCATTGTGCAACTCTCTGATGCATAGCAAGTGATTGCAAAGACCATGGTCTGTGTCAATCACACCTTAGTCTACAGAATACTATTGCTCTTCAAACTCTGGAGAGATCCCTAACGGCTGACTTTCCCATCGTAATAATTTCCTGGCTGCTGGTGCCAAGAGTGTTGACTGTGGAGGCAAGCAAACTAAAGCTGTGAACAATCTCAATCTCTTCACCATCCATCCTCATGCTGCCAATTGGCCCAGTGGTGAGAATCTTTGTCTTCTTGATATTGAATCTCAATCCATATTGAAGGCTGCAGTCCTTGACCTTCTGCAGCAAGCACTTCAGGTCCTCTTCAGTTTCAGCAAGCAGGGTTGTGCCATCTACATAACACAGATTTTTGACGAATCTTCCACCAATCCTGATGCCACACTTCTCCTCATAGAGCCTAGCCTCCTGGATAATATGATCTGTATATAGGTTGAAAAAGTATGGAGCTAGGACAAATAAGTTGTAAAGTATAATTCTATAATCAGAATTTTGATGCAAATTTGGCTCTGGATATTATGGTACCCATATTGTAGTAAAGAGGTATGAATACAGGTGAATTCCTAATCTGGAGAAACAGTGGTCCTCTGTGGTCCTCACAATAGAACATCACATCTCATTATGAGCAGGGTCTTCCATTACTTCTCTCTAAAAATGAATGCTCAGGGAGTAAAATGTGCTATGCTGTAGCAGTGAATGTCTGAAGGACCAAAACAGCATGAGGGAAAATGAAAACATCAGATTGGCCAAAGTTTAAATTCTATTGAGGGATGAATGATCTGTATGTCCTTTGAATTCCTATGGGTATTTTATCCATAGTTGGGTTTTTGAGGAGATTTTGCAGCAAGCACCTGAGGCTGTAGCCATCTGTTAAAGGTGGCCTAGAGCGTAGTGATGCATGCTGGTTCAGGAGTGATCAGTACGGCAGATAGGACAACAGCAAAGCAAACCAGCTGCTACTGAATCTGTTCCAGACCAGAAAAGAACTGCTCCCTGCAAGATTTTCAATGGGTGTGGGTTTTTTGGAAGTAGGTGTCCCTGCATTTCTTTTGAGACACTTCTAGTTGGATTTGAACAGCCAGCCCTTTGATTAGGAATGGAACTGATTCATTTGGACCACACACGGCAGACCATGGTAGTTCTTCAAGTGGAGTGTACATGACAATAACAAGGAGAGCTGTTTAAAACACAGATTTCAAAAAAAAAAACACAAAAAAACACAGATTTCGGGGTCCCACCCGTAGAGTTTCCAAATCAGTTGATTTGGGGTGAAGCCCCCCAAGTTTCTGGATGATAGGAATGCCCTTGCTCTGGAGATCAGAGCACCGACATGCAGCATTTTTGTTTCTTAGTGGCCCATAAGTGTCTATACTTAGCATGTGGACTGTGGAAAGAATATATAAAACTACATAAGTAGCCAATCCCTATACATTAAAGTCTGAATTTTTTACTTTCTCCTACACAGGGACTCATTATAAATATTCACTGCTTTAATTCTCTGTTCTTTCATTGAACTATTTAAATATAGTCCCATCTGTAGACTTTTATGCAAAGAGATTTTTCTAAAAGTGTTTTAGCTATTTAATTGGACTAGGTGATCTAAAGAAGATAAAAGTCCACTGTATTGCACATAATGCATTCAATTTTTAGGATGTTTGACTATGGAGTCCATGTTGTTGTAATCCTGAGGGTACACATGAATATTTTTATTATTTTTCATTGTAGCTCTATAAAAGTGTTTTTTAGCTAAAAAATATTATTTCTTCAATAGCTTTGGGTACACCCAAGGGTTCATAGTAGAACCTGTACTGCAAGTATTTCCTTTCTAACTTTGCAGTGAAATTTTTGCATATATAATGAACCAAGTTTATGTATACCCTGGCTATCATTTATTAAATTTTAACCTTGGCAGACATCATTTACTATGACCTGAATATTTCTCTCTTTTGGAATTTTAAGAAGGTTCTATTATCCCACTTGACAGTTGAGTATTTAATTGCGTTCTAGCAGGCATTTGGTCTCAGTTTCTATTAAGGTCACTTGGAGAACTTAAAAAAAGAAAAACCAGATACCCAGCATCTCTGAGAACAAGTCCCAGATTTTTTTTTTAAGTTTTTCAAGTGATTCTTTTGGTCAACAAGAGTTGGGAACTTTTCTTAATCTTTCCCTTTTGTGATACTAGAGTTGGACTTCTGGAAACTGATGATATGATATTGTGATTTGTCCTGTTTGTCATCTAGTTTGGGGTACAAGTTGCTCTTTATAATAAAAATAATAAGTATTGCTAACTCAAGATGGTTTTAAATGTCATCTAAATACCACCTCCAGTGTGTGATTTTTAGGCCAACAGCACTCGCATCACCTGGGAGACAGTTAGGACCTTGTCTGGACCTATTGCACAACAAGCTGTAGTTCCTACACAATCCTCAGATGGTTAGGAAACAGCTAAAGTTTGAGAAGCTCTGATTTAAGGGAGGACCCCCCCATGTACTCATAGCTTTGAACCTTGACAACAAGACGGTAGACAAGAATTTTTAGTCCTAGTTCACAAATGAGAAAGCTGTGGCTCAGCGAAACCTGTAATTTGCCTATAAGGAGAAAGAAATCATAGTAAAAGTAATTCTCCATTAAAAGACAAGATGCTTTTGTGACATTTCTGATCTTGTTTCCCATATCTGTTTCCTATGTCCCACCATCCTTTGCCTATGAAGATAGCATCATCAGGCCTGCTCTGTAATATCTTTTTGGACCAGGTGGTGGCTGAGCCTAGTGAAAAGGTTATTTGTATTTGGGTAGTTTGGCAGGGTATATTTTAACTCACTGCCTTGATCATTCTTGGTGTTTGACACATATGAAGCAGTGATAAGCTGTCCTTAGCAATCAGTGTATAAAACAACATTGAAAACATAGCAAACTCACTACTATTGATGCAATTCTAGGTATTGGTGTCCCTGAATGATAGAGTTGAGCTGCTCCATCTGATTTCCAAAGTGGAAAATGTTTTTTGAGAGCTGATGGTCACATCTTCCTCCCACAGAGACATCATAGGTTCCAACCACCAACTTTGTTGTTAGCAGCTAAGCACTGACCACTGAGCCACCAGAGTTCCTGTTAATCTGTTCATACTGTGGGATGCTGTCAAGTCATAACCGACCCATGGCTGACCCTCCAGGAGAACTTAAGAGGCAGTAAATCGCTCGGGGGGAGATGCCCATATAGAAGGCATTCATTTCCTTACAAACTGCCACTGATTTTTCCCGTGTTTTGGAAAATCTGGGAATCAATCAGCTTTATTTTTCCATTCTTTTTTTTTTTTTTAAATTTTGTTTTCTGGGGCTGCAAGAATCCAGGCAGGCTGTTGATTATAAACACAAATGATTCCCCTGTGACTCTTCTTCCACTTTCCTATGCCCAGGAAGTGAGTGGACTCTTGTCTCTCTCTCTCTCTCACACACACACACACACACACATTTCTAGTTTTGATTCCTGTCTTAATTTTCAAAAAGGCTATGGAGAAATTATGGTACATTCATACCATAGAATACTAAGCAGCACACAGGAGCAATGATTTTGTAAATTACTACCTAACTTGGGAGGTAGTGGAGAGCATTATGCTGAATGAACTAACTCAGTCTCTTAAGGAAAAATATTGTATAAAACCATTATTGTAGAACGAGTATGAGGATCCAAGGGAGGTGGCGGAGGGTGGAAGTAGAGGGGTGAGGATGTGCGGGGTGGGGAAGACTTAATCATTGGGTTGTACAATTTGTTGGGGGTTGAGGGAAATTGGAAGAATATGGTCTGAAAATCAAGGCATTCAAATGTTCAAAATTAATGAGTATAAATTTTTTTAAAAAGCCTAAGTAGGGTAATGATTTAGCATACAGCTTTTATCTTTTGAGAATCAATTCTCTAGGTCTAAGTTGAGAGTTGCCATGTTTTACTTTGAGGACAGAAATAGCAGGTACTGCATGCAAAAGGGGAAACTATTTCTATGGAATCAGGCTGGAGAGAATATAAAAAGGATGCCTCTAATTTCAGTGAACGACATATTCATCTTATACTTTGTTGGCGTCGTCGAGTTTGGGGACTAGTACACGGAGTGTGTCTACTTTGCCTCATTCAGTTTCACCTTATTGCAGGCTCCTTACCAGATGAGCTGAAAGGGAGGAAGAGTTAACAAGAGCCAGTTTATGCGGCCGGGTAAATACTGCCAGAGCTGCACTTTGTAAGGGGGATTGACTGACCTGTGAAGTTAATCCTGGGTGTCTGTTCACTTTGCCTTCCCAAGAGATTTTCCCCACCTCCTCGCCTCCGAGCAGAGAGGCAATCTGAGATCAAACTGACATCAGCCTTCATTCTGTGCTTGGCACATCTTCAGAGCAGCTACTGTTATTCTGCCAAAAGGAAGTGGAAATTGAGATAAATGTTTCAATCCTCAGATGGAAAAAAGTCCATTTTTACACCACGTCCCTTTTGAAAAACCACATTCCTCAGAAGCGCAGTTTATTGTTTCCTTTTGTGATGGTTTGCTTTTCTTTTTTTCTCAAGACTTGGTATTTAAGAGCGGTAATTGAGTTCAGATTTTTAAATGTGCTGTTTCCACTGTGCATGTCATTAAAATAAAATATGAGCTTTCGTAAAGTTCCGTAGGAAGGGGTTCTGGTGGTCTCTTGTGCAGTGAGATTCAATTTGAATATAAAGAATGGAAAAAAATTGAGAAATATGAAAAATGATGGTTGTGCCCAATACAATAATGAGTGACCATTATACTGACATCTGCCAAGGATCTGCTATAATTACAGAGCATCCCAATATGTGCCCAATAAATATATTTGTCATTTGATAATCTCCATTTAGCATATGTCATTTGCTTCCACAATCACCTTGTCTAATAGTGGTCTTGCTCTTTTGTGAGTGTTTGCATGCTAGAAGATAGTTTTGGGAGAGCACTGACTCTAAAATTTGGGGGAGATAATTTGTTTTTGAAGACCTTAGCCACTGTTAGAAAAGCATCTGTGTTTGAAACAATACATAAGAACCTTTTTAGAAGATATGTGCACCAGTATCACATTTATTTCACTTTACACCTGAACCTTTGGGTATTCTGGTGGAACATTTGTTAATGAATGTTCTCTCACTCAATATGCATTAAAAAGGCTCTGGCTGTATTTTTTTTTTAATGTGATATCTAGAAATTTCACTCTTCTATCAGATTAAGGTTGAAATGCATTTCACTGTAGGTCTTGGAGTTGGGTACAAAGATTTAAGTGCATTTGAATTTTAAATTTGCAAACCTAACGTTGTTGCCTCCCTAAGTGTTCTGTTCTTTGTTGGCCCCTTCAAGTTTCCTGGGTTACTACGGGAGACTGCTCTGGTATCTTCGAGAATCCTAGCTGAGCTCCATTTACTTCACTCGGATCTAATTGATATTCTGATATTTCCCCTAGATCAAGAGGAATGGTGTTTGGACCAGCCAACTTAGGGGAAGATGCAATTAGAAACTTCATTGCAAAACATCGCTGCAACTCCTGTTGCCGGAAGCTCAAACTCCCCGGTAGGCCCCAAACTATTCTATTTTCCTCTAAGTAAATAGCTCAAAGAACAACATCCCTTGTAACCTGGGATAGAGTAGGAAATCTTAATCACATTTTTATCTCATTCGCAGTCAAGGCCTGACTTTCTGACTACAAAATTTCCAAGTCTCTAAAGGGATTAAAAGGGCAGGGATTTACTTCAGGCTCTGCTAAAATACGATAAAACATTGGGCCTGATACTTGTCACAGTCACTCCAAAGGAAAAGTCCCATCAACTTAACAGGCTAAAACTGGCCCGAGGCATGTCTTTGGCCCTCCCTGTGGGCCCTGGCCATCGCTGATGGCATAATGTGATGCTCTGTACTTCAACTGTATTTTTTTTTAAATTATTATTTGCCCATCAGACGCATGGAGTAGGGGTAGCAGGATGGTGGGGAGTGGAGGAGAACTTCAGCTGTCAGTCAGAGAAGCTCTTGCCCTCCCCAAACCCTTGTGTAAAAGTATACCCCTTTAAACATACAGGGAACCATTTATTTACTTGTCTGCTTTGATATACGCCACATTTGTTCTAAAATCAGTGTCCTTGCTACAGAACGAATTGCTGACTGAAAAGCAAGCAGCAGAAGGCTGTGCTCTGCCCCCACACTGGCAGTCCTGGCTTGGCTGCCCTGTGATCTCTCGTGGCATTCTTTTTTGTTCCAGAGGGATGTTTTCTGTCCCCGGGGGCTTGCTTGCTTTTTATTAAGCCTGTTCTTAGAATGGATTTTTACACATTTTAAGCTGAGCGAGCAGCAGCCCTTCCCACTATAACGTATGCCATCATAACCTGCACTGGGAGTCAGTAAAAGATCATCACCCAGTGTAACCTGTGACAGAACAGGGGCCAATTTGTAGGAGGGGAGGGCAATTTCTAGTCTTACTGGAGTTAGAGGTAGGAGGGCCTCTTGTGAACTGTTTTTGTTTTTTTTTGAGAAGGACACGACTTAGCAGAAATCTGGGATTCGGAGCAGGTCATCAGTTTCAGGGGAAGTGAAGAGTCAGCCAAAGGCACATAGTGAGGGTGCTGGGTGCATAGGGTGGGAGGTCAGATGGTAGGAAAGAGGAGAGGGTGGTAGTTATCCTCTGACTTGCCCTCAGCAAACCACACACCAGACCTGGGCAAAGCTACTGGACAGAGCTGCTCGCTCATCCTGCCTCTTGCTGCAGCAGCCCAGGAAGAGATGGTGGTAGGATTGAATCGAGGGACAGAAGAACTTTCAGTTAAAGGACCTTACAGAAGGCAGGAGGGGACAAATAGCTGAGTCATGGCTACTGAGCAGAGTTCAGTGAGTGTCCTTGACCCTGACCTTTCCCAGGACTGATTCATCAGGCCCTGCACAAGGTAGCCTGTTATGGAAGATTTGGGCCTACCTGGAGGAAGAGAAGCTTTATATCGAACTTCCTGCTTCCAATCCTTGGGCCCAGCATGCAATTCTTTATGATTAAAATAGAAATAATTTTACCTGCCTTGGTGAGTTTTAAGTGAGTAATTGAATAATTCCTTTTTCTCTAGATGTAATCTAACTTCTTTCCTTCCAGAACTTTAGTTAGCATATTTAAATGAAAATCAGAAACATATTCATTTTGCAGACATTTGGTAATCTGAATTAAAAAGTTTAGTCTAGTAAAGAGGATTACGAGTAATTTTCTTTTTTCTGATTACATCTCCTCTCCCTCCCTTTTTTTTTTTTAAAAAAAAAGAAGAGAGAGAGAGCATTTAGGGTAGTGTGTAACAGCCAGACAGGCTGAGATCATATCCAGTTCTGCTATTTATTAGCTCTGTGCCCCTTGGCCTTAGTTTCCGCATCTATAAATTGGGGCTAGTAACAATCTCATAGAAATAGGGTGAACATTGAATGCAATTGAATACATAAAATGTCAATAAATAGACTTTGTTATCATAGCACAATATTTACTCATTATTTATCCAGGGACCATATAAAAAACAATGAAAGGAATACATGGTTAAAATTTTGAAGATTTAATCAGGAAAGAACATTACAACTTAAAACTCACTGGTTGGGTGGTTTGTTTAAGCACAGCTTACCCCCGTTACTAGTTTCTGTTGCTCATTTTCTTATTCAAGTGGAAGAAGGTCTTAGAAAGCGTTTGGTGGTGTTTTTCTAGGCAGGTGCCAAGCTTGAAATATAGCATTGCCACAGAGATCTGACCCCTGAAATCTAGAGCCCGCCTTTTTGGCTACCATCCTTGCTTGTCATTTAGCAGAGAAAACGCTCTTTTAGCTGTTGGCCCTCACTTAACTCCAGCTAAGCTTTCCAAGAACAGATTCTTCCTTCCCCCAGTGCAGTGAACAGGCCTGAAAGAGTACTAGGGAGTTAGGAAATTTCATGGATAGAAGGAGGATCTTTAAAGTGGACATGCTTGAGGGTGTGAGATCCACATAACCATGACCTGGGGAAGCAGAGTTCCTCTAACCTCTTGGCAAAGCCTAGCATCTCATGTATCCATATGGACATGCTGTCCAAGGGCATCTCCTCAACTGTCTGAATTGTGTGCCTTGCAGATTTAAAAAGAAATGACTATAGTCCTGGAAGGATAAATCCCACTTTTGGACTTGAGACCAAGATGGAATCAGCTGAGGGATTTCTGGCAAAAGAAATCAATGATTCCCTAGAAGAACTTACTCGATTGTGAGAAGGCAGACCTAAGAAGAAAGGTTGGTAATTTGGATGCACACAGAGGTGCCTCAGAAGAAAAACTTGATGATCCATTTCTGAAGAACAAACCACTGAAAACTCCAGGGAGTGCTGGTCTACTTGGTCTGACAACTGTTTTCTTTTTTTTCAAGAAGATGACAGTTGTTATCTACCCTTCTCTGAATTGTAGGGTTACAGGGCACTGACTATGACAGAACTGTTGTTGGAATAGCCTTGCACCATGACCCTCTTTGGGACACCCCTTCTGAGCCCCTCTTCTCCTGCTTCCCAAAGGCCTCACTGGGATATGGTGAAGGAGTTCCCTTCAATGTTGAACTCTCTTCAGGGGCCCATGGCGTGTGTTCTGGATCCTCTCAGTCCACAGGAAAATACATGGGCTAATCCTCTGGGAATATTGCTGCTTCAGACCCCGCGGCTCCATCTGGCCACTCGGCACACCGGCGGCTGAATGCTGGGTGCTAATGAGCCAGTGAGAGGAATTTCATTTATCTCGGTCCGTGTACAGACCCTGGTCCGTAGTGCTGTTGATTACATCACATCCAGATTGTATTTTTGTGCATATAAAAACCTCATTTGACTTCCTTGTCTCTCTTTTCCTGTAGCACAGGCCTTAGAAAATAGCTACATTGAGAAAAATGTGGAATGAGTATGTTTGCAAAGGTTGTAACACACTCTTCCTGCATAACCTAACCTAGATGGGTGTGAGGTATTGTCAGCAAATCATGTGATACAAATATTTTCAGTTTCTCTGAGAAAAAAGAAGAGGGAAATCCAAAACAAATGTCCCTGTGTCTTTCTTTTTTCTCCCTCCCCAGTAAGAGAACAAGGATATGTAAAACTGGAAATTATTAAGAAATGTTTTCCCTTCTTTTAAGCTCAGGGGTATTATTGGTTAAAGAGTTGACTAAGTCAATCTCTGCACCACTCCCTTTTCAAAAGCCATGAAGATAATGTTACAGCCTTAACTACTCTGTGTCAGGTCCTGTGGGGAAAGATGTGGTTTCTGACTGAAAACATGCTTCAAAGGTGTTTGCTTTGTTCTGAAGCCATTTCTTTGGCTTGTGTAGAGGGGCCAGATATAATTTAACCAGATTTATAATTTAACCAGTCCCTGGAAAAAGACATCATGCTGGGAAAGGCAGAGGGCGAGAGAAAAAAAGATTCTCGAGGAGATGGATTGGCATAGTAACTGTAACAATGAACTTGAGTATAGCAGAGGTTGTGAGGATGGCACAGGAAAGGCCAAAGTTCAAGTGTGTTGTTCATAGGGTCACTATCACTTGATGACACCTAACAATACTGTGTATTTTAAGGATGTCCTGAGCCCACAAAGTCAGTTTCGGGGGCCTGAAGTGGAGGCTTTTGGAAGCTGTATTGCACAGCATATCTGAGGGACCAATTGGCCTGCTGCACACTGGTGGCCCTGCCTCAGAGCATACACACAAAGAGGAGTGCAAGGCTGGGGGATCGTCAGTTCTCCCTTCACTTCCTTTCCATGTTATAATACCTTCCACTCTACCAGCAACAAATAGGGAAAGTTTTTTTATCTTTAAACCTTGCTTTAGCTGATTGGTCTGAGCCCGCTTTAAAAAATAAAAATCTACGGTTCTTTACTCTGTCTGAGGTTGTACTTCACGGGACATGTTGTCCAGACAGAGGGAGATGGGAAGTCATAGTTTTAGTTTACCATTGACTGTGCCTTACAGATATCAGGAGCAAGTCTGAGTTGCACAAGAGTGGACTTTAACCTCTTTTAATTTTTCCTTGAGTGTAAGGAGAAGTTGGAGACTTGGGTTGATATCTTGACTGGCAATGAGTATAAAATTATTAATACATGTTTAGAGGCTTAACTGCTTTATCCTTTTCTGCGAATCAGTAAGGGACCTACTGGTACTATTTCAACACTGTGTTCAACTATGGACAAAGGAGGAGTTTTCCTGCTAAGGCCCAAACTAAATGTATTATTAGTTCTTTGGTCAAATATTTGTTACCTGGAATGTAACTTCAATGCAAATAGATTTTGATTACAACTTTGTATTGCATTTTTGTTCTTTCATGAAAAAGAAAATCAACATTTTAAAAGGATGAACATTCTAAGATTGTCTTGACTTCCAAATGATTCATACAAAATATTGGGCTATTCATTCAGTGTTTAGTTCCATTTTATTCAACAGATATGTAGTAAGTAGTTTCTCTCTACTGGGTTACTGATAAGGATGAAGTGATGAATAATGGTATTTCTTTGCCTCAGAAAGTTCAGTATCTTATGTTTCTTTTTGTTTGTATGTTTTCTGTTTTAAGTTGATATTTCTAACTAGTGCTAATAAGATTGACTTCTGGACACATGTCTAATCCAGGCATATATCTCTTCACTCTGGTAGTGGGCAATAAATTCAGACTTGGATAAGAGAGTTAGTGCAAATAAGATACAAATAAGAGAGAAAAAAAATAAGGATGTAGTGCAAGAATTTGTCCAAATGATTACTGGACTCTAAACCTCAACTTCCATGACCCTGAACCAGAAGAACTAGAAGGTGCCAGCCTAATCGTGCACCAAATAGATTTCTTTCTAAAAATAAAATCACAGTGGAAGATCCTGATGAATTGGAGAAAATGTGGAACTAACCTCAGAAACCTAAAAAAGATGGGCTTACTGGTCCTATAGAGACTGGTAGAACAGTAGAGACCATGACCTTTAGTTACCCTTTGAACTCAAAACAAAAGTCACGACAGTGGTTCGCCTTTTAGCCAAATGATAGACAGGATTATTAGATGGCCCAAGTGCTTAAATAACTAACCAAATAAGGTCTAAAGAGAAGTATTTGCCTGAGAATAAAGTTGGGAAAGTCCTATAATATTTTAGGTATTGTAATCATGTTTTAAAGCAAAATATGTGTGAATGATTGAATGGGAAATATTTGCTTTGTAAACTGGAATCAATTAAAAAAGAAGATGCAGCTTCAACTGGTTTTAGGGACCACTGAAGAAAAATGGACTGCATGATCTCTATATGGCCCTGTTGTGCCTGAAGTCTGATTCTGGAACCAGAGAGGGAGTTGGTTTCCAATAGCTACCTCCTGAAGTACTCCTATGCACAGAACTTTCTCTTTGGTGGACTATTCCTGCTCTTCAGAGGCTAACCAAAAGTGTCATAATTTAGGTCCAGCCAGAGACACTTAGGACATAAGACCTGGAAATCTACTTCTAAAAAATGCGCCATTGATCTTCCTAGTCTGACACCCTTGGGGCTTCCTGAGTGGGAGTGGACTTGACGGAAACCTGCCTGCCCAGAGTGGTGCCTGCCCCAGGCTGTCGTAAAGCTTCTCAGGGCTTTGGGAAATAAACTCAGATACAGTTTTAAATCTTACTCTTCCTGTTGTTATTTTCTGTGGTTTTGCAAAAGAAAACTGGTGACTAAGACTTCCCAACAACCCTATAATTAGTGCTCTTTTTTTTTTTTTAAAGGTAGTTTTGTTATTGTCCATCACTGTTGTTATTTTAGAAGACAAACCACTCTGGTTTTAGAAGTTATGATGCTCCGGTCAAATCTGGCTGTACTTTACATTAGTCACCAGCTTCCAGCATGAAGTCCAGCACATAATCAGCTTAAAAAAAAGTTTGTTGAATGAAATAATAAACCCTTGAAATGATGGTGAATTTAATTCATTCAGCTTTGGTGGCCTAGTGGGTAAGGAGTTGTGCTGCTAACTCAAAGTATGAAGGTCAGATCCACTAGCCACCCCACTGGAAAAAGATGGGCAGTTTCTACTCTGCTGGTTACAGGCTCTGAAAACCTGCTTGAGGTTTTCAACTGTGAGCTGCTTGTGACTCAACAGCATTGAGACTTTTTTGAGAGGTTTTGCAGACTCGGGTTTGCATTTTCAGTCTTGAAAGAAATGAGTACCAATTCAATTAGAACCAATACAATTCTTTTGATCTCTCTGTTTTAATTTTCCAGGAAACACAGTCTAACAATCTACACCTTGTCTATTCTCAATCAGCTCTTGTCCCCTGATAATCATCAGTGATAAACTGGAGTACAGATCCTCCTCACTCGTGGCTATTGACACGAGACGATAACTTCCCAGAAACTGCCTAGAAATAATCACGTTATTGCCCTTTGAAAAGAAGATTGATAGAAAAGTCATTTGAACGATGCTTCATTACCATGCCTGAGTATGATTTTTTACTCGCATCTCTCCAAAGCATGAGAAAGGCAGGATTATTCTCTGAGGTCGGAATTTGAAGGCTGTGTGTTTGCCTCTTTGAAGTCTTGGTATTTAATTTTCTGTAGTCATTTCTTGAGCAATTTTCTGAGAAACTAGTTGAAGCTAATTTATCATAAGTTAAAGTCAAATGACAGAAAAGATTCCCCCCGCCCCAACAGCATTTTATTCCACAGAGGTTAGCTTCTGAAGGAAAATGAGACTTAAATAGCATTTCAAATCTCCAGCCACATGGGTGGGTGCAGAGAATAGAAAGAATTCTTGAAACCATACTGATTTTTGTTTTAAATTTATTTAGCAAAGTTATTACTTTGTGACTTTTCCTCCCAGACCATGATGTTCAGATAAGATGTTGTGTGCTTGTAAAAAAACCTCTCCTATGAATAATTTTGTATATTGTTTAATTTTTCAAAGAAAGACCTTCAATGCACAAGGAATAACAAACTTTGGTCTCAACCCTCTCTATTTTAGACTTTTAGTACAACTGTCTATCATTTATTTAACCTGTTTTCCCTCTAAATGAAATGGTGCTTGTGTCTTCAAACAAAGGCAAAAAATAAAGAGCCCTTAGAAGGTCCTCTGATAATCTCATTTTAAACAGCTTTGTGTGAGCATGAGATCCAATTCAGTAAGTGGGAAGGGATTTTTATTTTTGGTGTTGTGTGATTCTTATTTAATACTTCTGCAGGATCCTCAGTGGACCTGTTTCCGTATATACACAAAAGTAGTTTCTGCTATTTCTCCCCTTTCCCAATGGGGAAAAGCTCATTGTTGTCCCCCCCACCCCCACCCCTTCTTTCAGTTAGAAGCTTAATTGAATAGTACAAAATCAGGACTTCATCATTCCACAGTGTTTCCTACTTGTTTTTAAAAAACTTTTTGGTAGAGTCAGGCTTACCCAGTTAATTTCTTTTGTCATTCTCTGTCTTCTAGGAGAATAAGGAAAGCCCCGAAATATCATCATTGTGACTTTTATGGGCATGAAAAAAGTAGGGGTAGTATCTTTATTATTATTATTATTATTTTGGTGCCATATAGCCATAGAAAAAACTAGTTTAGTACTTTGATGATTAGAAAAGGGAATGTTTTTATCAAGATTTGAGTGAATTATTTAAATTTTGTCAATATAAATATTAAGATTTTGACCTATAGCTTACCAATATTTTCTTTTAACAGCTGATTTCCTTTAGAATTTTCATTTTCTTCTACTTATTTATTTTTC